CCCCACCGCCCATTTTCATCTCTGCCTGCCTCGCCATGCCATGTTTCCTCCCATCCACCCCCTTTTCATCTCTGCCTGCCTCACCATGCCATGTTTCACCCCATCCAGCCCCTCCTCCCCTACCTGCTTGATGCTGCCGCAGGCATCCAGAACCCCAATCACAGATTGGCATTCCTCCTAAGAAGTCGTAATACATTTGCAAAAGAGTGACAAAAAGAGATAAGGACATTAGTAAAAGAAGACAATCAAGACCTGGTGGCAACTGCAATTTCAACCTTAGACTGGCAATCCACAGTTCAAAACGCGACTATCACCCTAGCTACCTATACGCCGTGGAGCCATCGTGGTCAATGTCCCCTCATCAGAGATGCAATGGACATCGATCGACGGAATCTCCTTTTCAGTTGCCCTCTTGAGTGTGAAGGTGCAACGCGGGGTCTTGGACACCTACGAATAGCTACTACACATTCCTACCACTCCTCCCAAGATTCTCAGGCAAAACCGCCGACCAGTCAGTCATGCTCCACTGGTGCCAAAAGCCTTACCTTGCTATCGTTATCGCTCCTCCAGCATCCAACCGATGTAGCCATTTCCCATCTATCATTCAACCGGAACAGTTTATCCTCCCGTTCGGCTGATAGCTCAATCAATAGCAAGAGAGCAAACCTGGTATGCTGCACAATAACTGCATCCATGTCTACCCTCCTTGCTGTAATCGCGGGAGAACACCACGCGGCACGAGAACTATCAATGGCAGATGCAGACAGTGCCAATGCAAGGATTTACGCAATTTTACGGACTTCGCGGAATGACGATGTTGCTTTGGGATGGCACCATGCAGAGCACATCCAGCTAGAACATAGCACATTGTCACCATTTGCGTCTCTCAACTCGCTTCCTTCCTTGTGTGTTGCCGAATAAGCTAAATGAGTCTGTCTGGGACTCAAACCACTTCTCAAAGGCCTAAAAGAAATTATTAGAGATTGGTACATAATACACCAAACAAAGGACAATAATAATCAACTAAACAACCTTCCCAACCCCCTCACAAGTACACCACACACCATTCCCCTCCGCCACTCCCATCCTGCCCCCAGGAAAGATCAAGATCAAGAGAAAGGGGTGGCCACCACAACACCAAACAAAGGACAATAATCAACTCAACAACCTTCTCACCCCCCTCACAAAAAAACACCATCCCCCGTCCAGCACTCCCATCCTGCCCCCAAGAAAAGATCAAGAAAAAGGGGTTGTCACCACGACAATCTTCCAGAACACGACACCCCCCCCCCCTTCAGCTTCACACACTTTCCTACCCACCACGCCTCTCAATTCTGTTCCAACTTCCAACCGAACTCGCACACAAAACAGACCAATCGCTGGAACACTTTTCAAGCTCCCCATTGCAAGAACACCATCCCCCTTCCCCCCCCCCCCCCCGTATTCCCCCACGCAAAGGGGGAGAAAAAGCCGCCCCCCCCCCACCACAACCATCCCAACTCCCAACACGGCCGCTTCAGCTTGATGCCATCCTGCCCACCAGCCTTTCAACTCTGTTCCCCTACCAAACCCACACGCAAAACAGCTCAATTGCTGAAACACTTGAGAACAACCTCAATGCCTCCGGCCCCATTTCCCCGGGCCCCATTTCCCCGGGCCCCATTTCCCCGGGCCCCATTTCCCTCCCCCCTCCTTCCTCCTGACCCCCTCCTATCTCTACCCGGAATTCTCCGAGCCCCCAATACCTATGCCTCAAGGCAAAATAGGTCGATTGGTTGCCGAATTACCAGCATGACCACATTCACAGACAGGCATAACAAGAACACCGGACAGGATGGAAGGACACTCCCCCTGCAAACCCTCCGCCCATATAGTCTGTTCGCCAGATAAACAGCGGTCATCTTTTCTTAGCCCAATAAGTGCTCGTCAATCTCCTCGCACGCCCAAACCCCCCCTTCAATAGAATGCAGGGCTGCAATCCACGGGACTCCACATCACTTGCGCACAACATGAGTTCACACACAAAGAAAAGGACAACTGGGAGGCAAATGCCGGATAGACCATCAAGAGTGGCAACCCTGACACAGCAACACAACAGATCGAGCGAGAGGGCGCACATATATTTTTTAACGTAACAGCCACATTCATCGCCATGAATCAACCACTGCACAGAGCAACCCAGTAAGAAAGACAAGAAGAAATAAAACTGACATCACATCATGATGACATGTGCATGGAACGTAAGAGACAGAGATTGATTAACCTACTGCTCGGGTAACGGAACAAAACAGGAGCAGAATGAGACAGAGTCCTCACCCCAAAGGCTCAAAGCCCAACCTCACGACGCAGTATGACCTTCACTCAGATCGATATCATCCATGAGCAGATCCGTTGACCTACGCCGCTCTGTCGTCAATGGCATCCTGTCGGAAATCTCTCTGTCGTCCATCGATACTCTCGACTCCGCAGCACTCGTTCGCCTACTGTCAACGGTACTTTGCCTACCTACGTGGTACTCCGTGGTACTAGGACCCCTGCTTGAAAGTGGAGGGCGGCCTTCATTCTTCGGCAGATCTAGAGGACTCATATCGTACGGCACAGGTCCCGCAAAGGACTGCTCCGACAAAAGGGACGTTTGCATTCGGTCTTGTCCCGGTTTCACACCGCTAATGGTTGGGCTCGGTGGACTCCGTGCCTCCACGGAAGTGGTCACCCCAGCAACAGATGCGCCCGATTTAAGGTCCTTGTGTTTCCTTGTGTGCTCCATTTCCTGGCCAGTAGGCACAAAAGTACGAGTACGATACCGCCGAGGACCAGACTGGCTACCATCACTGTACAAAATGTAGTCATGATAGGTGGGAGCAAACTGATGGACAGTGTCATAGACGACATCGTTGAAGTTCATCGCATGGCTGATGTTTCCGCCAAGACCACCCGCCGCACCCACTGCATTTGCATACGGTTGGTGAGGGAAAGCCCACAGGTGGCCAACTGCTGCAACGGCCATTTCCAGGCAAATCAACAGATTCTGCAAATCCGCAGCATCTTCTTTGCTATTGATCAGACCCCCTTTGGACAACAGAAAAATCAACACTCCTTGCCAGTACGTCAAGAAGACCACGGATTTGATGATAAGGAACTTTGGAAGAGGATTGAATGGTCTCAGAAGATCCCGCGTCGCCACAAAGAACAACACCAAGGCATAAAGAGCTAAAGAGTATGATACCGTGTACGCCAGAGTCACATACAGGTATCCTCCTTTCGGACTGAAATCTCCATCTTCGAACTTCCCCCTGGAATACATAATGAGGGAGAAAGCTGCAAGGATAGGCTTTGCAATTACAAATTGTAGCACTCCTTGCTTGCACCTCCGGATGAAGCGCCTGGAATCGCCATCACAACATCAGTAACCGAAAGCCATACACGTCAGTCAATCAGGCAATGCAAACCAAAGAAACATAAAATAGCACTCCTTGCTTGCACCTCCGGATGAACCGCCTGGAATTGCCATTACCACATCAGTACCGAAAGGCACAAACGTGTCAGTCGATCAGGGAACGCAAACCAAAGAAACATAAATAGCCTCAACATCACCCCCGGCATTATTGTCGAGACATACTGACTGACACTCTTGTTCGTGTAGTTCAAGGTCGTCACTGCCAGACATGTTGTGGATACTCTCGCATATCGGTTAGTGAACGAAACCTCTAATTGGGGAACCCATTTCCTGACTTCCTGCGGTTACTGCTCACTGTACTCCTTCGCTAACCAGTCTTGACAGTCCAAGTTCCGTGCTTCTCTGCTCAGATAGCTCCCAGCACCACTCCAGACACAATCAGGGAGTGTGTGGCACCTGCCTCTGATTATGCATGGGCTTAACGCTCTTGAAGGCTTGAAGCGGTGCAGGAGGTAGAGCAAAGGAACGGCTCAAGGATGATAATACCTCGACAAATGCTTCATCGTCCTGCTGCCGAATTGGTGTTGTCCAGACTTCGATCCTGCTCCACATTGACTATGATCTGCAGCAGGACACACCGATTCTTGGCAGCAGCCAGAAGTGGCCACTAACTAAACTGACGATACGCATTTGCAAACAACGAAGATACAAGGCAGAAGAGCCAAAGAGAGAAAAACATATATTCACACCACGGTACACAGCACGTGCGTTGACACAAGGACATAGTGGTTTCCCACCACAGATCTGCCTGGGGCAGAGAGCTCAGGAGTCTCTCTCTCTCTCTCTCTCTCTCTCTCTCTCTCTCTCTCTCTCTCTCTCTCTCTCTCTCTTCCCCCCCCTCTCTCTCTCAACCCCCCACACACATGCACACATATCCTTACCATGTCTTTGCTTGCATTGCGCACATACTAAGGTGACGCCACCAATTCGCAAAAAAGTTGAAAAAACAAAGATACCAGGCAAAGAGCCAAAGAAAGAAAACATATATTCACACCAGGGTACAAAGCATGCGCATTGACACAAGGACATACAGTGGTTTCCCAACACAGTTCCGCCTGATGCAGAGAGCTTACGACTCTCTCTCTCTCTCTCTCTCTCTCTCTCTCTCTCTCTCTCTCTCTCTCTCTCTCTCTCTCTCTCTCTCTCTCTCTCTCTCTCTCTCTCT